CTCAAGACCAAATAGAAGTTATAACAAGTAAGAAAGTGAAGACGATTAAGACCGAATATATGGGATCCCTATGGTAAAGTGAATTCCTATTTAGAAGCTATAGACCGATCGTGACGCAATTATATGCTAAACTAGTTATCAACTTTATAAGAGGTTTATTCGAGGAACTACAGGCTAGTCATCTTAAAAGACCTCAATATGCTGATTATAGGGTATAGCAAAAGAAGGAAAGCTTCACTAGAATCAAGTATAAAAATTCAAAATCAAATTCGTTATTCGAAATACTTACGTCTGATTGTTTAAAATGGAATCATAATAAAAGTGCTCGACGTCGTTACCCCGGCATTATTTATGAAACACTTGAACAGAGACAGACTTTACTTTTCAAACAAAAATTTCATATGAATTTATTTGTTATATTTTTTTTTTCATTCAGTAGAAACAAATATACTTGACAATTGCACGAGCACTACTCGGGGAAGTTGGATTTATTTTATGTTTTGTTTTGTTTTGAGGGGTTTTACTTTGTAAAGAAAATATTAGATTTAATACATAAGTAATAATAATAAAAAAAATTAAATAAATAAAATAAAATTTAAATATCACCGTTCTTTTACCCTTAAGGTATTTTTTAGATTTTAACTAAAGAAATTTTTTAGAAGTATTGTGTTAACCTTAATTGAAGCACTGTTTCCTAGAGAAATTTTAATGACATTCTCATTTCCTATTGAGACCCTTTGATTCATAATCTAGTCGATAGACTTGATCATAATATAGTCGATAGTCGAGTCTACAATCTAGTCTATAATCTAGTCAACAATCTAGTCAATAGTTTTCTCTATAATCTAGTCTATAGTCTAATCTATAGTTTGTTCCACAATCAAGTCTATAGTCCAGACCATAATGTTGTCCATTCTATAGTCTAGTGTCTAAAGTCATGTCTAATGTCTATAGTCTAGTATATAATCTAGTCTATAGTCTAGTCTATAGTCTAGTCTATAGTCTAGTCTATAGTCTAGTCTATAGTCTAGTCTATAGTCTAGTCTATAGTCTAGTCTATAGTCTAGTCTATAGTCTAGTCTATAGTCTAGTCTATAGTCTAGTCTATAGTCTAGTCTATAGTCTAGTCTATAGTCTAGTCTATAGTCTAGTCTATAGTCTAGTCTATAGTCTAGTCTATAGTCTAGTCTATAGTCTAGTCTATAGTCTAGTCTATAGTCTAGTCTATAGTCTAGTCTATAGTCTAGTCTATAGTCTAGTCTATAGTCTAGTCTATAGTCTAGTCTATAGTCTAGTCTATAGTCTAGTCTATAGTCTAGTCTATAGTCTAGTCTATAGTCTAGTCTATAGTCTAGTCTATAGTCTAGTCTATAGTCTAGTCTATAGTCTAGTCTATAGTCTAGTCTATAGTCTAGTCTATAGTCTAGTCTATAGTCTAGTCTATAGTCTAGTCTATAGTCTAGTCTATAGTCTAGTCTATAGTCTAGTCTATAGTCTAGTCTATAGTCTAGTCTATAGTCTAGTCTATAGTCTAGTCTATAGTCTAGTCTATAGTCTAGTCTATAGTCTAGTCTATAGTCTAGTCTATAGTCTAGTCTATAGTCTAGTCTATAGTCTGGTCTATAGTCTAGTCTATTCTAGTCTATAGTCTAGTCTATAGTCTAGTCTATAGTCTAGTCTATAGTCTAGTCTATAGTCTAGTCTATAGTCTAGTCTATAGTCTAGTCTATAGTCTAGTCTATAGTCTAGTCTATAGTCTAGTCTATAGTCTAGTCTATAGTCTAGTCTATAGTCTAGTCTATAGTCTAGTCTATAGTCTAGTCTATAGTCTAGTCTATAGTCTAGTCTAGTCTAGTCTATAGTCTAGTCTATAGTCTAGTCTATAGTCTAGTCTATAGTCTAGTCTATAGTCTAGTCTATAGTCTAGTCTATAGTCTAGTCTATAGTCTAGTCTATAGTCTAGTCTATAGTCTAGTCTATAGTCTAGTCTATAGTCTAGTCTATAGTCGTCTATAGTCTAGTCTAGTCTAGTCTATAGTCTAGTCTATAGTCTAGTCTATAGTCTAGTCTAGTCTAGTCTATAGTCTAGTCTATAGTCTAGTCTATAGTCTAGTCTATAGTCTAGTCTATAGTCTAGTCTATAGTCTAGTCTATAGTCTAGTCTATAGTCTAGTCTATAGTCTAGTCTATAGTCTAGTCTATAGTCTAGTCTATAGTCTAGTCTATAGTCTAGTCTATAGTCTAGTCTATAGTCTAGTCTATAGTCTAGTCTATAGTCTAGTCTATAGTCTAGTCTATAGTCTAGTCTATAGTCTAGTCTATAGTCTAGTCTATAGTCTAGTCTATAGTCTAGTCTATAGTCTAGTCTATAGTCTAGTCTATAGTCTAGTCTATAGTCTAGTCTATAGTCTAGTCTATAGTCTAGTCTATAGTCTAGTCTATAGTCTAGTCTATAGTCTAGTCCTATAGTCTAGTCTATAGTCTAGTCTATAGTCTAGTCTATAGTCTAGTCTATAGTCTAGTCTATAGTCTAGTCTATAGTCTAGTCTATAGTCTAGTCTATAGCCTAGTCTATATCTAGTCTATAGTCTAGTCTATAGTCTAGTCTAAGAGTCTAGTCTATAGTCTAGTCTATAGTCTAGTCTAGTCTAGTCTATAAGCTAGTATATAGTCTAGTCCTATTGTTGTCCTAGTCTAGAGTCTAGTCTTATAGTCCTAGACTATAGTCTAGTCTAATAGTCTAGACTATAGTCTAGTCCTATAGTCTAGCTATAGTCTAGTCTATAGTCTAGACTATAGTCTAGTCTATAGTTCTAGACTATAGTCTAGTCGATAATCTAGTCTATGTCTAGTCTATAGTTTAGTTTATAGTCTAGTCTATATCTAATCTATAGTCTTGTCTATAGTCTATATTCTAGTCTATGGTCTGGCCTATAAAATTTGGAATGCTACTAAAAATTATACTGTAAACATTTTATTATTATTATTTTTGTTTTGTATGAAATATTGCCACGTTTTTATTTAATATGTCTGCCAAATCCTTATTAAACCCTCCATTCTAATTTGACCTTCCAAAAAAGTAAATCGAAAAAAATATTTTAATCACCCAATTGGGAACAGAACAATTCCAATTAGCAATTTTATGCTACAGTTAACATTACATACTACCACAAGCTAACATGTTTGGTTTCATCTATGTAATTTGAAATTTGTACACTGAATGCGGGAAAATGTAAATAAAAAGACACACATACTGTTAACTCAAGTAAGTAACAGCTGTTAAGAGGGCAAAATGTTAATGTGAAGTAATAGAGTAAAGAAAAAATAGTTAGATGAAGAAAAGAAAACATGAAAATTGAAATGGAAATATGTAATACTAAAGAATGGTGGTGAGTATAAAAGATATTAAAAAGTTAAAATTTAAGAATGGAAGTATAAAGAGAATATTTAAAATGTTTTCATTTATTTTAATGTGAAGAAAGTAATGACTTTGGCTATTATTGTTAGCTCAAATCGAAACCCCAAAAACAACAAGTGTATTGTTCAGGCATGGAAAAATTGACAGTTTCAAATGGTAGGAATGACTACTAACTAACTAACTAACTAACTAACTAACTAACTAACTAACTAACTAACTAACTAACTAACTAACTAACTAACTAACTAACTAACTAACTAACTAACTAACTAACTAACTACTAACTAACTAACTAACTAACTAACTAACTAACTAACTAACTAACACTACTAACTAACTAACTACTAACTAACTAACTAACTAACTAACTAACTACTAACTAACTAACTAACTAACTAACTAACACTAACTAACTAACTAACTAACTAACTAACTAACTAACTAACTAACTAACTAACTACTAACTACTAACTAACTAACTAACTAACTAACTAACTAACTAACTAACTAACTAACTAACTACTAACTAACTAACTAACTAACTACAACTAACTAACTAACTACTAACTAACTAACTAACTAACTAACTACTAACTAACTAACTAACTACTAACTAACTAACTAACTAACTAACTAACTACTCTAACTAACTAACTAACTACTAACTAACTAACTAACTAACTAACTAACTAACTAACTAACTAACTAACTAACTAACTAACTAACTAACTACTACTAACTAACTAACTAACTAACTAACTAACTAACTAACTAACTAACTACTAACTAACTAACTAACTAACTAACTAACTAACTAACTAACTAACTACTAACTAACTAACTAACTACTACTAACTAACTACTAACTAACTAACTACTAACTAACTAACTAACTAACTAACTAACTAACTAACTAACTAACTAACTAACTAACTAACTAACTAACTACTAACTAACTAACTAACTACTACTAACTAACTACTAACTAACTAACTAACTAACTAACTAACTAACTACTAACTAACTAACTAACTAGACTACTAACTAACTAACTAACTAACTAACTAACTAACTAACTACTACTAACTAACTAACTAACTAACTAACTAACTAACTAACTAACTAACTAACTAACTAACTAACTAACTAACTAACTAACTAACTAACTAACTAACTAACTAACTAACTACTAACTAACTAACTAACTAACGCATAAAAACGTCAACAATTATCAATAGTACTGAATTATTCAACCCTGCTACTCTTGTTTTAAAAACATATGTTTTTACGTACATAGATAATTATTGTTGTACATTTTTCTTTAGTTTCTTCTTTAAACTGCTTCTTGCTTGTTCCATATACCACTTTGTTCCATGTCAACCGTGGGGCTTTATTTGGGGTTTTATTAAAAGAGCTACTGTTAAGCGGAGAGTTAGTGAAAGAGAGAGAAATTTAAGTAATTGTTTAAAGTAGAGAAAGAGAATATAATGAATGAATATTAAACAATTTCATTAAACAAACATTTGTCAAACATAAAACTCATACAACTTGTTCGTATTTAATGGCAGTTGCAATTGAACACACCCAACGAAGCAGTGATGGAATACGCGCAATAAACGTGTGGATTTTTATTTTAATTTCAAACGCCTAAAACGTCTCTTAAACGTGCAATAACGTAGTTTTTTCCTATTAGTGGCGTTTTCGTTTTTCTTTTTGATTTTTTTATATGAATTTTTGTTTCACAACAACAGTTTACACTTTGAAAATTACAAAGGAAATTAAAGAAAAAAGCTAAACAAAAGGATTGCCAAGAAAAGAGCATAGAAAAATTTTGTGTTAATAAGAAAAAGATTTTGCGAAAAGCAACATAAAGTGAGTGAGTAATTGTTTAATAACATGAAAATTATGTGTTTTCTTAAAAAAAGTGCTTTTTTTCTGGTGATGATTAAGAATCAAATAAAATAAAGTGGAAAAACAACAAAAAATTAAACATCTAGTGTTAATTTTTATATGTCAAAATCTTATTCTCTTCACCATTTAAGAGGTTTGCTGCTGTCAAACACCAACAAACAAACATTTGTAAAGTTTATGTGATAAAAAAAGAGAGATAATTTTCATATTTACAACAAGAGAAGCTGCTAAAAAGAGAGCCGTAGTGCGGACAATAAAATGAGGCCGTTATACTAAACAAAAAACAAACAACAAACTAACAGCGAATTGCATTTGCAAAAGAAAAATAACAAAAATCAGCTGTAAAAAATTTAATTGTGAACAAAGTTTGTTGGAAAATTGTTAGAAATTTATAAAATCTATGGCAGAAATAACAAATTATTATAAAATTAATATAAACAATTGATAAAGTGTTAAACAATTCTTTAAAATAAAAGAAATCTTGTTAAACTTGTTTTGCTTTTTCATTCTTTCTTTTTTGTTCATTGCTTTAAACTAAAGAATTCTTTAAATGTTTGTTTAAATTAAAAAACAGCTAAAAAAATTTGTGTAAATTCCTTAAAATAATTAAAATAAAAGAAATATTTCTTTAATAAAGAGTTTCTCTTGTTTAATTATTGCTTTAAAACAAGTTTCTTTTAAGTTTTCTTTTTCAACATTTCTTGCGCAAAAATAACAAAAAAAGAAGTCAAAATATAAAGCAAAATATAAAAATTATCATAAATATAACAAAAAATAAAAAAAACTAATAAAAACAACAAAACCTCTCTGACCCCTTGGAGAAAAAAAAAACACAACTACAATAAGCAGCAAAACCTCGGGAAAGGAAAACTATCAGCACACCACCAAAAACAACAATTTTAATACCATTCCAAGCTGTACTCCATCAACAACAAATCTTATTATAAACAACTAAAATTTTGTTGTTATTAGTTTTTGCCTTAACTCACCTCGTGTTTATATTATTTTTTGCTGTTTTTTTTTTTTTTTGATAATTTTTGGTTGTGTTTTCTGTTGTTGTTTTTGTGAATACTCTTCATCTACTCTACTCAAAACTCAAGTGTGATGTAAGTATTATTATTTATTATTATATTTTATAATATGTATATTTATTGTTGTTGTTGTTGTTTTTATTTTCTATTCTTCTTTGCATGTTTTACATAAAATTTGTTTATTTGTTATTTTTTCTATCAATAAAGTGTTGTTGTTGTTTTCGAATAGGGTATTTATATTAATACAGGAATGGACAGTTTGGTGCTATTGTACTTTTTTATAATAAATACATATTTACTAAGTAGTTCGTTCAAAGATTACAATGGAATAGTTAATAGACTTATCCATAGACCAGTCAATATTTTAGTCCATAGTCTTGTCCACAAATTAGACCATAGATTAGTCAATAAACTGGACCGTAGACTAGACCCTAGACTAGTCAATAGACTACTCCATAGACTAGACTTATACTAATCAATAGACTGGTCCATAGACTAGTCAATAGACTTATCCATAGACTTGTCTATTGACTAGTGTAGTGACTATCTACTGACTAGTCTATCGTAGAGTCTATTGATTAGTCTACAGACTAATCTATGGACAAGTGTATTAGCTTATCAATAGACTAGACCATAGATTAGTAATTAGACTACACCATAGACTTGTCAATAGACTACTCTATAGACTAGTTAATAGACTAGTCTACAGACTAATCAACGGACTGGTTCATAGACCTGTCTATAGACTAGTCAATATATTAGTCAATGGATTAGTTTGTAGACTATTCATAGACTAGTCAATTGATAAGTCAGTAGAGTAGTCCATAGACTAGTCAATAGACTTATCCATAGACTAGCCAATTGACTAGTGTAGTGACTATTCTATGGAGTAGTATATTGTTTAGTCTACAGACTAGTCTATGGACTAGTGTATTAGCTTATCAATAGACTAGACCATAGATGTAGATAGACTACACCATAGACTTGTCAATAGACTACTCTATAAACTAATCAACGGACTGGTTCATAGACCAGTCTATAGACTAGTCAATGGATTAGTCAATGGACTATACTATATATAGTTTATAGACTATAGCTCAATAGACAAATCAATAGACTAGTCCATGAACTAGTCAATTGATAAGTCAAGAGACTAGTTCATAGACTAATCTATAGACTAGTCCAAATTAAAAAAAAAAATACTATACCTATATATAGTACTATACTATACTATAGTCTATTGAATAGCCTATTGTATAACTTAAAAAAAAAATGGTCAATAGACTAGTGCATAGAAATAGACTAGTTAATAGGCAACTCTATTGACTAGTCAATAGACTAGTCCATTGGCTAATCTATAGACTAATCTATAAACTAGTTAATATACTAGTCCATAGACTAGTAAATAGAGTTGTCCATAGAAAAGTCCAAATTAAAAAGAAGTATTCCATTGACTATTCTTTGGACTACTGACTAGTCTACTAACTAGTCTATTTACTAGTGTACTGACCAGTCTTTGATATAGTTTATAGACTAGTCTATGGACTAGTGTATTGACTAGTCTACTGATTAGTTTATTGACAAGTGTATGGACTAGTCTATGTACTAGTATGTTGAATAGTCTATGTCTATTGACCATTTTCTTAAGTTTTACATCCAATAAAAAAAGTCCCCATTTAATAAAACAAATACCATTTCAAAATTTCAATTTTCCATGTCTGTCTCAAAATATTATAGTAGCATTTAGTTGCTACTTCTATTGCAGCTGCTGCTACTAGTAGTGGCTGCTGTGCCGGCGGCAGCTCTGAGTAAATTTCATTTGAAAATTTTTATCAGTTTTGAACATTTTATGTGTCGAGTTTTATTTTTATCGTTTTTAAAGCGTTTTAAGAAAAAACTAATATTTATGTTTTGGTGATAAAAAAAAAATGAAAAGTGCTCTTAATATTAAGTGATGCCAATGAAATTTTTGTGCATTTTATAAATTTAAAAATTAATGTGAAAGTATTTAGAGTTATGTTCTGAAATTAAAATTCGAATCTGAAATTTGGTAGCAGGTTTTCAAACGTTCTTTACTGCGATTAGACCAAATTGGGAAGATCCAATAGATGCTTAACTTTTGAAATTGAATTGATGAAGTTAAAATATTCTCAGTGTAAAGATGTAGATTCAAGGAATATTATTTCTATTTTATACGTCTTCTATTAGCAGTACTGAGAAAATCAGTACTGTGATCAAAGATCTCCAATATTTTGGATCATCATTACTCATCAACACTGGAGATCTAACGAATAGATCGGATAGAACCATCATATGTAGTTGATGATTAACAAGCATATTGTCTTCTGCTCATAGTTTCCTCAGTTCGGATAGAAGTTAATCTTATAACATGATCTTCTCTTTATTTGCTGTGACTAATACTGCTCCATTGTATGTATAACTCTGTTAAAGAACTTTTGTTTTTTCTAAAACATTTCATTTTGACAGTGACAGTTTATAAGTAAATATAATAAAGTTCTGCGATAAGACTTATCATTGAACTAATTATTGTACAACATGTTTAACGTATGTATAGACCAAAGCTTAGCCATAACAAACCGATAAACTAAAGCGCAAAAAAGTTTATATCATGCAGCTGATATGAGGATTCGAACAGGTGGGACTGATAAAAACGACTATATTAATATTGAGTGGGTTAGTTAGTTAATTAGTTTGAAAGGAAGATGAGTGTTACATCAAACCTTAACATCCATCGAGTCTGTTATACGCTCCTTTACCAGGAGACTCTGGTCGGAATTGAACCCACGAGCTCAGGTCAGACAGACTAGAAAACTAACTACTGACATACCGTCGTACGATTTCGACTTATCAAACGCAGTTAGTCATAACCACTGTGTCGACCAAGTTTCTAGAATATTGCTCGATCTTAATGCATGTACATAACTCTTGCCTCTGTGCGAGTTTAAACTGGAGGCAGAATTGTTCGGAAACTGTGACACATTGATTCAAGGAGAGAATCATGGTTACGGAAGTTCGGCAAAGAGTCAATGCATCGGAAAATCTGGATGGCTCTAATACGTCTTTCGTCACGAATGTATTCTTTGTAAACGAAAGTGAAGACAGAAGCGAGAGTTGAGATAGTCAGCACATAACAGTCTCCATTTGTTATTTGTCATGCATTAACTATTTTGGACTAGCTTTCAGTCTCTCCTCTCTCTCTCTCTCTCTTTGAAATCTATGGAACAACGATTGCCTTCTTCCTGGGACAAGCACATGTTTAAATATCTTACCACCTGGGTGTCAAGTGTTGAAATAGAATAGGATTTCTTTGTAGACGAGAGTGAAGACAGACGTCAGT